AGACCCTAACTTCAATCCAATGTATCTCGGTTTCTGTGAAAGGTGTCAAAATTGTGAACTGATAAAACCATTAGTGATATTATGATGAATGATTTATCAGTTTACGATTTTTGATATCTTTCAAAGAACCGAGATAATTGAGCTCAAAGTTTAGCTGCGACAGATCAGTGGCTACCTATTGGCGGCTCGGGGGACTTTAACTTCAAGCCGATTTATCTCGGTCCGTGTAACAGATGTCCGAAAATTGTTAACTGATAAAATGTTACTAATAATGTGATACACATTTCGTTAGTTAACCACTTTTTGATTTTTATCGCAGGAAGTTAGATACATTGGTTTAAAGTTTGGCTGCGACGAATCAGTGGCGGCTCTATGAAGTCTCTAACTTCAAGCCGATTTTTCTCACTTCCTGTGACAGATATCAAAAAATTGTCAACTTATAAAATATAGTTCAAATTATGATAAAGAAATTATCAGTTGACCAGTTTTTTATATCTCTTCTGGGGATCGAGATAATTAATGCCCTGCTAATATTAGGATAGTAATCAGAGACCCAATGGCGGGGGATGATAAAAAGGAAGTACTTGTCATATGGATCAAAAGACATGAAGAGCAGAGATACCATCTGTTAAGGGACCCCCACTTATGCTTTTGTTGGTGCAACAAAAACAGCTTGAGTTGGAGATGCCAGGGTACTTATGATTTGACTTGCAGGGTAAAGAGGAGGGATGGGTCAATTAATTTTTGGTCAAGTACACCGACAAATATGTGTAGACATCCTTAGAGGGGGAAGCCGGGGAGGATAGGGACCTTTTTTCAAAATGGGCAAATTTTAGGGGTAAGGGACCTTGATTAAAAAAACCTTGAAATTCCTAAGATTATCGAAAATGCATTTTCAACATACAAAATCGTGACCAACGAAAATTGAAAATTTTCGTCTAAAAGTGAGCGACAAGAAACGGGAATTTTTTAGAATTCCTGAGGAAACAGTATCCGCCAAAAGTTTATTAATGCTGTTTATTAATACTGCCTATTTTTAATGGAAAATTTCAAAATTTGAAGTCCTGAAAAAGTACTTTGGAAGTTTTCAATTTGTCTGAAAATTTCAGACTATAATAAACAAAAATAGAGCTTCAATTTTGTAGTTGAAAACTTTTTCGTACAAATCCATTTAAATGAGATAAACCGCTTGACACCAAAATAAACACCTTCTGACCCTTTTAGCTCTGACCATTCTAACTGTTAACTTTGAGCTCAATTATCTCGCTTCCTATGAGTGTATCAAAAAATGGTAGACTGACAAATGTTACTGATAATGTGATAAACATTCCATTAGTTGACATATTTTTGATAGGTCTCTTAGGAATCAAGATAATTGAGCTCAAAGCGCACGTGTAGGACTGCAATTTTCCCAAAATCCGAAATTTCTACAGTATTTTCAAACATTTTCTTGAAAATTCCTAAAAATATTTATATGTCATACATATCAATTTACAAAAAAAGATTTGTCTTAACAACAATTGAATGTTTTCCATCTAAAATTGAAAAACGAGAAACGGGAAGATTTTTACACTTTCTTAGCTTATGAGCTTTAGTCCAAGCTTTCAACTTTGAGCTCAATTATCTCGCTTTTAATAAGAGATATCGAAAAATGATCAACTGATAATTTATTTATCGTCTTGTCATCAATATTTTATCAGTTGACAAATTTTTATATCTATCACAGGAGCTGAGATAATTGAGCTCAAAGTGCACGTATTAAATGGCTATTTTCACCGAATCCGAAACTTCTACAGTAATTTCAAATTTCAATTGGAAAATTCTTAAGAACATCTAAATGACATATTTTCATTTAAGGCTAGGACCTATTGTTTTCTCGGCTTACAAGCCCGACCATACAAGCTATAATTAGACCTCCCATGGTGCAAACTTTTGCTTCTCCGTTTCTTAATCGTTTTCGGGGTCACGGCTCTCCATCAAAAGAAGGAACAAGAAGACCAATTTGCTCTTTGTCACCTTTTTTTCTGACACCTGGTCCTCATAGGAATTCCATAGCTTCCGAAAGGAATAATGTCAACAAAAGGGAAGACAAGACACCACCTGGCAGGTATTCTTTTTATGAAGATCTCCTTGTTATTTGATAGCCTAAAAGGGAGCCGCTATGGTATTTGATAGGATGAGCAATAATGACCGGGTCAGTATAGACGGGCGGTCTGTTTGAAAAGGTTAAGGAGATTGCTCAGCGTTATGCAACAGCTTCATTGGATCAACAAACATTGGGGACAGGAGACACTGTAATTAATTTTTTGGATGATTACTTAAGTTCAAAGGGATTATATGTGGAGTCGGCTTTGGGGGTCATGTATTCTGCATTTGGGAGATCAAAAAGTGGGAAGGTGGCCTAATCAAATGGTATTTTCTCCAAGAATAGTTTTCTTTGAGGAGATTATATGATCTATATGACGTAACACAAGATCGAGACTTTTTTAGGTCTAAAAATGGGAAAAGATGGAAAACGGGGAAATGAAGATTTGCCAGTAAAATGAAGAAATTACTAAATGACCAAAAACTGAATTCAGAAAATCAAAATCTTGGATTTTTAAAACAATTTTAAATTTCAAATGTAAGAGAAATTAGCGAAAATAGGTCAATTTCAAAGCAGAGTCCATTAGAAACGTTTCAAAAATTGTTTGCAATCTGAAACGGAAAAAATTCTAGAAGTTTTTTTGAAATTTCGGAACTGGAAGTGTTGAAATCTCCCAGAAAACAATTGAAATCTCCCAGAAAACAAAAATGGAAAAATCAAAATTCTGAATTTCGTAGACAATTTCAAAATTCAAAAAATCAGGGAAAAGATTTTAATTCAGCAGCACATTTCATTTCAATCTGAAACAGAAAAATGATTTCTTTAAGAAAAAGTCGGTGGGCCTGGAAAAATGTTTAAAACATCTCAAAAAGCCCCAAAATCTTGGGAATTTCAAATTTTCTGTTAATCTGGAATTCATTTGAAAATTTTCAACTGAAACTTGACAATAGAAGAATCTGCCATAAGAACTCTAACAAAAAGCGAAATAAATTGGCTCAAATCTGGAAATTAGGGGGATCATTCTGTTAGAGTTGTTACGGTAAATCAAGTTTTCCAAAAACATAATATCACAAGCATTTTATATTTTTAAAACTTTCAAAACGTTTTTTCAAGGTTTTTGTGTATCTAAAGAAGGTGAAATTCATATAGATTCATACATTTTCCAAAATTAAAATAAAATTTTTTTCTAAAAAATATATGTTAAGGTCGTGTATCAGAATGTTATAAATTCTGGAAAACATTATGACAAAGTTGAAACTGTAAGTTTTTTTTTGAAAAAAAATTGGTAAATTTAGTCGATTATCAAAAATATTTTATCAGTTGACCATTTTTTGATACCTTACGAAGGAACCGAGATAAATTGGCTCAATTTTATAAATTAGAAAGGCCAAGTTTTTAAAAATTTTGCAGATTCGAAATTCATCTAGATTTATAAAACTTTCAGATATAATTTTTGAAAAATTTTAAAACTTATTCTACATCGTAGTATAATAACATCTGGAAAATATTACGACAAAGTTGATACTGATTTTTTTTTAGTAAATTTAGTCGAAAAGAAGTACTGAAGGTCCCAGAACGAAAACTACCGTAACCCATAAAGTAATAATTACTTTCCAGATTGTTCTTTCTTGAACATGCTGTCAAAGAATTGTCCAAAACCGATAAAAAAAATCAAGAAAATTGATTTCAGAAAAATGAGTTTTTCAAAAAAAAAACTAAAAAATTTCAGTTTCAAAATTTTCATAATTTTTGAATAAATCTTTTTGATCCAATAGATTGTTTTATCGTTGTGATGAAAAAACTATTTTTCTGCTTTTAAATTTATCAGAACGATTCCAAAATCTCTTTTTTTTCCATCTAATAATTCCCCTAATTCCATTATTTTTAATTTCATTATTGCCAATTAAACTTTATCATCCTCATAACTATTTTAAAATGTCTCTAATTCTCTAAATCTCTTCTCATTTTTTTCCCTTTTGTTTTCCAATAGGTAGCATAATGAGAATCAAATGTTCAGCACACCTAAACATACAAAAAACTTTTTTTTTCAACATTTTTTCCCATTTTCCACACAGACACCTATCTCTCAGAGTAAGAACAAACATTGAAGAAGGCGTTATTTTGTTTTTTTTTCCTTGTCTTTTACCTTTTTTGTGGCTGGTCACCATCTGTTCTTGGCGAGAGAGAAATTCGAAAAAGAGAAAGCGACAGATTTTTGAATATTAGCCAATTGAGACTGTTGAATATCTGTTATTTGAGCCTAAAAATGAAGCATTTCGAAAAAAAACGCTGGTCTCATAACGAAAACTACCGTAGTCTAAAATACTATCTGGATTTTCCCGATTTTTCTCATTTTTTCGAATAAATCCCTTTTTTTCGAAATTTTCTTCAAACTTCAATAAATTCTCAACCGATTCGCTGAACTTCACTAATTTCCTCCCGAAAAATTCCTGCGAAAAATTCGAATTCGAGTTTCCCCCAATTTTCGAAAAATTTTAGATACGCAGGTTTATTTCGGGTTACTGTCGCCTTGAGCTTCTCGGCGCCAATTTTCAAATTGCATTTGCCACGTGTTTTTTCTGGGTGGTCTCTTCGATTTTCCGCGAATTTGAAAATTAAAAAAGAACTTTTTTGGGTTTAAAACCTAAAATATGCGATTTTTAAAAGAAAAATGAAGCTGAAAATTATGATTTTTTTATTAGAATTTGCAGTAAAAATTCGGCAAATTTATCGAAAAAATTGGAAATTAGTTTGAAAAATTTTTGAATTTTTCTCTAATTTTCTGGACTTTTCAATGAATTTTCATGATATGTTCTGAATTTTGACTCAATTACCTCCATTTTTTCAACCCATTATCATTTTTTGGCCGTTTTTCTGCTATTTTTCGTCCACTTTTCCAAAAAATTTTCAGGAAATGACTCGTCTTATAACCCTACTGATCTCGCTCATTCTGATACTCCCAACTCAGTCGGCTCCCGGAATTCGAAAACCACTAGTGCCGATTTATTGGCAGACTGGTCAATTGGAAGAGCAAAACATCGAGTAAAAATTCGTTTTTAGGCCAAAAATCACAATTTATGTAAATTTTGAGCCGCAAAATCTAGATTTTTCGGCCAAAAACCTCGACCTGAAAATATATTTTTCCGTAAAAAAATCATTTTTTCGTATAAAATCGATTTTCAGAAGCACCAGAATCCGAAGAACCGTCGCCACTACTACCGAGGAGAATGCTATTGATAATTCGACGTCTTCTACGACTCCAAGGTCTAAAAATCTAAAAAATCGCCTTTTTGGGCGTATTTTGAGCCTAATATCGGTTAAAAGTCGATTTTCCAGCCCAAACACCACAATGGCCACAATGAAAGCCGTAGTGATCACTGGAGAAGAGGATCTTGTTCCGAAAAACGAGGAGCTGCAAATCGATTTGAGAGGAGCAGATGCGGATCCGGATAGGTGGGAAAATGCTGAAAATTGGCTGAAAATAAGCTGAAATTCGCTGAAAATCCATTGAAAAAGGGCGAAAATCTTGATTAATGGGCTGAAAATTGAAAAAAAAACCCCCGAAAAATTTATAATTTGGGCACAATTCTCGTATTTTTTTTTACAAAAATTAAAGCGAAAATTTCAAAAAATAAGTAATTTTCTGAGCGATTTTCAGCTGAAAACGCTTATTTCCTTGTTTTTTTGGGCTAATTTGTCGTCGATTCTAGCTCATTTCTGACCATGTTTGCCATTTTTTGCTCAATTTTCGCTGAAAATTTTCTGAAATTTGAGAGAAATTCGTTAAAAATATGACGGAAAATCTTCGAAAATTGAAGGGAAATATCGAAAAATTGGCTTCAAAAAAGCGGAAATTTCGAAAAATTCAAGCTAAAGAATCTCAAGAAAATTTGCTTTTTCTGTGATTTTTTGACCATTTTCTGGAATTTTCTGAGCATATTTTTTGCTCAATTTTCGTCATTGTTTGCTCCAAATCCTATATTTTCGTCATTCCACCACCCAAAACGACCCAAAAGTAAGACAAGTCCATTGAAAAATGACAAAAAATCGTCAAAAACGGAAGCAAAAAATGAAAAAAAAAGAATTTCTGAAAATTACAACTTTTTAGTGATTTTTTGACTATTTTTCGATGATTTAAGTTCATTTTTCGATGATTTTAGATTTTCTTTGACGATTTCTGACCATAGTCGCTGACTTTTGCTCAATTTTCGTTGAAAAATCGTTGAAAAATGACGGGAAATCATAAATGGGAATATGTCTGAAAATTACAAAAAATTAAAATGGCCTAAAAATGCTTGAAAATGCCTAAAAATGACCCGATATATGTCTGAAAATCACCCTGAAAATGCCTAAAAATGCGTAATAATAGTCTGAAAATTGCCTCAAAATTGCCTCAAAATCTCTTGAAACGACCGGAAATGTGTCGGAAAATCACTTAAAAAATACCAAACAATGGCCTGCAAATCGCTGAAAATTGAAAAAAAATTTTCGCCATTTTTTGACGGTTTCAGCTTATTTTCTGACCATTTTTTGCTCAATTTTTGTCAGTGTTTCTCAATTTTAGCTCATTTTCTAGCGATTTTTCGCAATTTTTTGCTCATTTTTAACGATTTCAGTCCATTTTCTGACCATTTTTTTCGCTCAATGTCCCCCATTTTTCTCCCCCAAAAGCCCCGAAAATTCATCATTCCAGCTCTGAAAACGACCCAAAAATCGAAACAAAAGTCGCCGACGATTCTGATGCTCCGAAAATCGTGCTGCCCGTCCGCGATCCGCTGGTCGAGCCAACCGAAATGATGTATCATGTGGATTCCGATGGTCCTGATGACGATGAAGATTACCAAGATTCCCCGGATTCAGAAGACGTCGCGTCTTCTTCAGAAGCCCCAATTTCCAAGTGGCAGAAGGCTAAGAACACTACCACTGAAGCTCCAGTTGTGATTCTCAAGAAGTCTCAGGAAATCGGAAATTCCACGCGGCAGAAGGCGCTAGAGAAGAATTCTACCTCAGAAGCTGTAAAAAAGCTGACAGCCCCGAAGAATTATGGATCCGTTGACGTCAAGAACACCACCTCAGAATACGTGAAGCTGACGACTTCGAAGAATTCTGAATCCACGTCTTCAGGAAATTCCACGTCAGAAGACGTCAAGTTGGCTGCAGAAGACGATGTCCGGGAGGAGATTCCATACATTCTTCCTACTGGAGACGATGACAATGATACCTATGTGGATAAGCCATTCAATGGTGAGTTCTCGGACATCGGGATTCAAGGAGACGCAGATGGAAATATGATGCAAATTTAAAAATTTCAGGCTGAAATTTTCGCCTTTTTTCCCAATTTTTTTGTACTAAAAATCCATAAAAGGACCATTTTTTGCCGTGTTTCATCTAAAATCCCTCTTTTCAGGAGACGTGTATCCTCAGACGCTCTACGACCAGACCAACATCTTCTTGCACAAATTCTCCAGAAGCCACCCCGGAGCATCGTTTGTGCTCGTCTGCACACTTGCCGCCATCATCGTCCTCCTCGTCGCTGTCGTTTTGTTCGAATGTTGCAAGTCGAGGAGACGGTATGGATCTTTTTACATGGTTTTTATGCGAAAAAATGGAGTTTTTTGTGGTTTTCTAGCTTTTTGAGAGAAATATCGATTTTCAACCGTTTTTCGGCAGTTTTCGAGGTTAAAAACGAATTAAAAACGTTTTTTTTTTTCATATTTTGACCTAAAAATCTCGAAAACTCCCCGAAATTCCATAAAAAACGATCTGAAATTCAAATTTTTGCCCAAAAAATAACTTTAATTCGTTTGTCCGAGAGGACTACACGATGTTTGGGATGTTAGGTTGCCAGCCACGCGGCCAGCAGATTATTGGCGCGAGGTTTGAATTTGAAAGGAAAAATTTTGAAATTTTCGGATTTTCAGCGATTGTTGTGGATTTTCAAGCATTTTTGAAGCTTTTTCATAGATTATCTAGATTTTCAAGCGATTTAAAAGTGAAAAATCTCAAAATTCTGATTTTTTTTGAAAAAATTTTTTTTTCAGAAATTTGTAGACTTTCATTAGCTTTTCGCATTTTTAAAGTTCTTTTTCAGCCACCACGCTTACAATTCGCGTTCCCGCACGCCTCCATCGGTCACTGCAGACCTCTACAACACCTCCGCTTGCTCGCACTTCTACAGTAAGCCAACCCTTCTGCCAAATCAACAGGAGGTCACAATGCAGCTGGTTTCATCGGACATCTCATCGGATATGATTTAAATTTAAGTTTTAATTGATTTTTGGTCTCTTTTCACCCACTACAACCCCATTAAATCAATTTGTCTCTGTGAATTCTCCCTCTTTAACTCAATATATAGGAATAGTGATTGTGTTCGTTAACTCTGGTTTTCTGTAAAATATTCAATTCATTCCTAACCTTTTTTGCCTTTTTTGAGTGCTTAAAACTCATTTTTTGCGCTTTTTTTGACCGGTTTCTTTCTCAAATCTCCCATTGATTGATCTATTTTATATGCCCCCGACTACCCTTATTGCTTGAGTGAAATCCAATGTTTTCTAACGGAGAAATGCAGAATTCGAGCCAAAAAACCGATTTTATCTTGATTTTCGACCTTTTTAACCCCGAAAACCTAATTTACCTTGGTTTTTGACCCTATAAAACCCTAAAAACTCCGTGGCCGAGTTTTCCCATTTTCTAGGCCACTTCTTCTTTTTTCCTACTTTAAAAACCATTTTAGCCTTCTTTTTGACCCTCAGAACCCCCAAAAACTCCGTGGCCGAGTTTTCCTATTTTCTAGGCCACCCCTCTTTAGCCGGAAAATTGAAAAAATATTTCCGAAAAATATAATTAACGTTTTTCATTTTAACTCCCCTTTGAGCTTAATCTGACCCTAAAAACTCCAAAAATCTCCATGGCTGATTTTTCCCATTATCTAGGCCAACATTCTGTTCTATGATATCATCCTATACCCTGATCCCAATCCAATATCTATTACGTAAAACCACCTCTTGAGTACACCTTGCCTATTGTTCTGCCACTCGAAATAGAGCCTATGTGTGCTCACTTTCGAATAGAACAAGTACATGGATAGGTTACTTTTTTCTTGTTTCGAGAAAGATCGTTTTCGTGGTGAGACCCATTGGATGGATTTGCGTCATTTTTTAGGCCCAAAAAAATTATGGAAATGAGCGAGAAGCTCAAAAAATACAATTTTTTCGAGTTCCATAAATTCTTATTCCTTTTTTTGGTCATAAAATCTCTAAAATTTTCTGCAGATTCTAAAAAATGGAAAATTCTAAAACATACTGGAATTTCAAACTCGCAGATTTTTTGGGAAATTCTAGAATCTTCTAAAAGATTACAGTTTGTAAGTAAATTCTGAAAAATTTGAGGAACTATTTTAAGAAAAAATTGAAAAATTGAAATTTCAACAAAAACATTTTTCCTGTCTTTGAGATTCTAGAAATTTCTGAAACAACTTTCTTTTTCACTAGAAAAGATTTGTCAACATTTCTGATATGGTAGATATAGAAAGTTCTGAAAAGTTCAAAATTTCCAGATCTTTTCTAAAATATTCCAGATTTTCAGTAACAAATATTTCTATGAAAACGTTCTAGAATCATCTAGAAAATACGTTTTTTTTGAAGTTTTTTAGATCTTAGAAAATTATGAAAAATCGAAATTTGGAGATATTTGGGAATCTGATGAACGATTTCAGAAGAAGCTCAAAATTTGGAATTGCAAGAATAAACACATTTTTCCTGTTTTTGAGATTCCAGAGATTTCTGAAGTTACTTTCTATTTTTACTAGAAAAGATTTAACAATATTTCTAATATGGTAGATATAGAAAGTTCTGAAAAGTTCAAAATTTCAGATTTTTCTATTTTTCTAGAAGATTCCATTCTTTCCCCTATTGTTCTAATGCTCTCCATTGTTTTCTCCATTGCAAAACAAAAACCATTTTTCTGCAAGAATTTCGTCGGCCACAGAAAAAACCAAAAAAAATCCACTCAAGAATTTTCTAATATCGAACAAAAAGAAGAAAAATTTGAAAAAAATGTGTCGTGTCCTCTTGGAAATTTCGTGCAAAATATGATCAATTTTAGCAACAAAAGAGGATGAAGGGAGGAGGAAAATTGTTCGCTTTTTTGTAATACTTTTCATTCAAAAATCTTTTTCAAATAGAAAAAGAAAATTGTGTGCACTTTCATAAAATAGAATATTCTTAGAAAAATGGAAAAAAAATGTGTTTTCCAATATAGCGGAAATCCTCTCCATTCAAATAGAATAGTTCCATTTTTTAAAAATCAAAGTTAATTTTTTTCAAATATTTAATTTCCAATTTTGTTTTATTTTTTGAATTTTCCTCATTTTGGGTTATCCAAATAGCCCTTCTTTGAAAAAGTGGAAAATTGTAAACAAAGTTTTTAAAAATCTAAATTTTGATTCTTCCCATTCTGCCTTCTGTTTTTTGAAAAACATTCTTTTAATTTCAAATTTAAAACTTTTTTGTCTGTTTTTTGATTTTTGATCCTATTTTTTGATTTATCAGCAAATCAGATGTTATGATTGATGATCTTGTTTTTTTTTCAAAAAAAAAGTTTACTGTTTCGAAAAGTTGTCATTTTAAGATGAGTTTTTTGAAAATCCATTTTTTTGTAAAGTTCCGTATTCACTCTAATATGTCTTCCCAACCGTCAACTTTGAGCTCATCTATCTCGGTTTCTGTGTACGATATTAGAAAGTGGTCAACCAAAAAAAAAGTTTTTATCATATTATATACTCAATTTTTGATTTTTTTTGTTGTTTATATGGTCCCATTTTTTGATTTACCAGCAAAATCAGACATGATTAGTATGCCTATTATTTCGACAATTTTTCACTGTTTCAAAAAGTGTCTTTTTGAGATGAACAATTTTTTCAGACAATTTTTTTGGGTTTCATAATGTAACATAGAAAATTCGTTCGCAAAGTTAAACTTTCAAAATAAAAATTTATAAAAAGACTACTTTCCTGAAAGTTCAAATTTCTGAAAAGTATCAACTTTTCTTTAATTTTCGTAAATTTAAGATCTATCATGTTTTAAAAATAAATAAATAAAATATTCGGACAACTTTTTAAATATTTTTTTGAGAGCTCTGAATTTAGGAATTTGAAGCAGTAGTCTTATCAAAATTTAGCTGTCCAGTTTGAAAATACTGATTAGAAGAAACAGTTTTTTTTTTGGATTTCCAAAAAATCCATTTTTGTATCAACTTTTCTAAAAAATCATTGAAAAAAAAACCCCCAAAAACTTTCCTCCCCCTCCTTTGAGACATCAAAATCCTGTATTTTTTTTGACAATTTTCAAAACTGAACTTTTGACCTTCAAACTCTATCTTTGAACTTTAAAATGGACTTTTCGGATATAACTGGATTCCAAAAATCCCCAGAAATGTTGACTACAAAATTCACTGTCCCCAATTTTTTCCATTTTCCCGTGTCAATCATGCCTCCCGCCTCCTTCTCCGGTCCATTTAGGATCAAATTTTCCGGGCCAAACTGGTCATCACCATCACTCAAAAAGTCAAATCACCAAAAGAGGCGAAAACTAGATCATTTTTCCTCTACCAGTCACTAAAAGGTACTAGCCGGTACTAAAATTTATGAGGGTGATTTTCCTCGTTTTGAGGTAAAAGGAGGAAAATGAATTGGAAAGTGATATATCAATGGAATCAAGGTCATCTTTCCCTTTTTGAATTCTAATGGGTCGGAAATATGGATAACATTGTTTTGGTAATAGAGATTTGGAGATACCGTAAACACTCTAATAGAACGCCACAATGATTTCAAAAAAAGAAAAAATAAACCAAATCTTACAAAATTTTTTTTTAAACTTCGGTAAAAATATTTCAGCTTCAATTTCATTTTATAATACGACTTAATTTTTTCAAAAATCTGTTTTGAAAAGTGGAAAAAAATGAATTTGAACATTTTCTAACTTTTGAAAAAAAAAATTACGGTTTCATCTTCATTTCAAAATCATTCTTGTTTTTCTGCATATGCTGCTTCGAAGCAAAATTTTATTTCCTTTTACAAAATGTTCCAGCCAAGACCCAAAATATGTTCTCTACTAAAAGTCACGTAACTTTCGCTAAATCCTGTCTGATCCCTCCCAGACACCAGACAGTCTGGCACAGGATGGTCTGGGTATTTCGCAACTCTTTTCTGTTTTTTTTTTCGCAAAAAAAAGTGGGCGGAGCCTAATCGGGGAAAGATGAAAAAAGGCTATAAAATAGGCGGAAAAAAACGTTCACTGGTGATGCGTTTTTGCTTTTTTTGTAATTTTTTCCAAAGTGCATTTTTTAAAAGATAAGAAGGAAGGAAAGGACTGAAAATTTGTTGTCTGAAATTTTCAGCAATTTTCCCTTCTTAATTTTTTTTGTTTTTTGGTTTACAATTTTTGAAATTTCGCTTATAAAATCGCTTTTACCGTTTCCTCAAATCCTTTTTTTTAAAGGATTTTTGGTATGTTGGCAATTTTGAGCTCATGTATCTCGGTTCCTGTAAAAGATATCAAAAAGTGGTCAACTAATAACATTCATCATAACATCGTTAATATTTTATCAGTTGACAGGTTGTTGATATCTTTCACAGGAACCGAGATAATTAAGCTCAAAGTTTGGCTGCGACGGTTCAGTGGCGGCCTAATGGTGGGTCTACGGGGATCCTAACTTTAAGCCGATTTTTCTCATTTTCTGTAACAGTTATAAAAAAGCTGTAAACTGATAAAATGTAAATCATGATATCATCAACATTTTATCAGTTAATAATTTTTTCGGTATCTGTTACAGTAACCGAGATATATGGGCTCAAAGTTTGGCTTCGACGGATCATTGGCGGCCTATTATCGGTTCAAATCTCCTATAGTGGTGACTTTCTATTAGAGGGCTTAAAGTATTGGAGATTGAAAGATATTATTGTTTTTCTAGTTTTATGATAATTCAATCTTCTCATTCAATCAAATTAAAAACAATTCAACAAATAATTTCTTTATTCAAACAAAAAAAAACAATCAAGCTTTTTTCGCTGATTTTTTCGTGGTCCCAGTTTTCTTGGTCGTCTTTTTCTGTTCCAGATCCTCACACATTTTATTATTGAATAATGGAGAAGACGAGGAGATAAAAAAGCGATCCTGGGTGATTGCTGATCGTATAGCCCAACATGAATCCAAGTCTTTCAGAAGTGCAGCGTTGTTGTTTTTAAAGACAGCACAGTTGTAGTCACCACACACGATACGCTGAATTAAAGTACTCTGAGCTCAATTATCTCGTTTCTTAAGAAAGATAAAAAAAAGTAATTAATTGATAAATTGTGTATCATAATATTATCAATATTTTACTAGTTTACCACTTTTTGATATCTATCAAACAGGAATGGAGATAATTGAGCTCAAAGTTTGGACGGGTCCTTGGTCGGCCATAGGCGGCTCAACGTACCCTTATTTCAAGCCAATTTTTCTCATTTCCCGTGATAGTTATATGAATTTTGTCAACTGATAAAACAATTCTGATATTATGATAAACATTTTATCAGTTGACAAAATTTTGATATCTCTCATAGGAACCGAGATAATCGAGCTCCAAGTTAGGACGGATCAGTGGCGTGCCACAGGCAGCTCAAGGGGTCCCAATTTTCAGCCCAAATTTTCTCATTTCATATGATAGATATCAAAAGTTGGTCAACGGCAAAACTATTCATCGCATTATCATCAACATTTTATCAGTCAACCAATTTTTCATATCTTTCATAGGAACCGAGATACATAATTTAGGTCAACGTTACCTTTAGTTTCGGAAATTTCGCAGTTTTCAGTTGCTTGTTGTTTTGCACATCAATCGCTGGCAGCATGGCTGTAACTTTTTAAATTATGTAATTTTAGTAGTAATTTTAAAAATTACAGTCAAGCTGAGCAATATGAGTCAAATTTGGCAGGAAGTTGAAATTGGTGAAATTGGTTCCTTTCATAATAAGACTTCCATAGAGGATTTTCAGAGATTTTACTTTCTGAAAAACATTTTTAGATCATTTTGAAGTGGTGGCCTAGAAAACTGGATTTGCCAAAGTTAGGCCATTGTGCTAAGTTGACCTAGAAATGGCCTAAGATGCCTCTGGAGTGTTTTCTAGGTCATTTTGATGTGGT